ATCAGAATCGAACTGCTGGAAGGGGGCAGAGTCAGCCTGCAATCCTGCATTCTAACCACTGTGCCACCATGGAAAGAAGGGAGGGAGGGAGGGAGGAAGGAAGGAAGGAAAAGGAAGGACTAGCACTAAGCCGTTAGACTTATATACCGTTTCACAGTGCTTTCCAGCACCCTCTAAGCGGTTTACAGAATCAGCCTCTTGCCCCCAACAATTTGAGTCCTCATTTTACCCACCTTGGAAGGATGGGAGGCTGGTGGGATCTGAACTGCCAAATTGTAGGCAGCTGGCTGCAGCAGAAGTAGCTTGCAGTACTGCACTCTAATCACTACACTGCCATGGAAGGGAGGGAGGGAGGGAGGGAGGGGGAGGAAGGAAGGAAGGAAGGAAGGAAGGAAGGAAGGAAGGAAGGAAGGAAGGAAGGAAAAGGAAGGACTAACATTTAGCCTTAGACTTACATACCGCTTCGGTCGGTTTTTTATACTTCATTTGGCACTTTAGTTGTTGGCAGAAATTCAAAGGAGAGAAAGGTGGGTGCTTATCTCGAGGGACTGTTTGGGACTCATTATAGGCCGGGAATGAACATAATTCCTAGCACTGAAACAAAACAAGAGTTGTTTTAACTAATTATGGTCTCGGAAGCCTTGGTCAGAACATCAACCCAGTGAGTTATAGATTCGGAGTCTGGAAGCATCTGAGGGCTCTCTAACTTGGTTTTCCTGCTGCAAAGAAGTTGAAATCGAAAGCTGGCTGAGCTCTGGAGGTCACCACAGTTAATGTCTCCCCAGGCGTTTCGAATCCCGTCTCTTGCCATTCATTACCCAACTATTGGCAGGTCCTGGGGCATGCTGTGTTACAGTTTAAATCCTGTTAGCTTTCCAGTGACTCCAACTATATTTTCACATATTTATTCATCATTCTGCTCGGCAGGAAATCTCCAGGCAGGGACAAGGAGGAATGTCCAAAGATGCTTAGGGACAGGAAGAAGCACTGAACATTAGCATTCTTCTGCCTTCCCTGGTGCAAATTCGCTGCAGAGGAAGTTCGACTGAACATGTCTATATTATCAGATCAAAAGAGGACAAGTGGGGTTGGGATGAAAATTGAGGTTTTGCGCTTCTCTCACGTCAAGGTCCCATTTTCCACTGTGATATTGTTTCTCCAGATCTCCCAAGTTCTCCAGCACCCCACTATTTACAACAATATCTATCTATCTATCTATCTATCTATCTATCTATCTATCTATCTATCTATCTATCTATCTATCTTTCTTTCTTTCTTTCTTTCTTTCTTTCTTTCTTTCTTTCTTTCT